GATGTCTTTAATATTAGCAAAAAGTAACAATAGTTTTCGCGGACACAGATACAGAATACCTCAGATACATGGATAGGTAATCATTTATCTGATGTCACATTATTTACAGAATATGACAATGCAATGAGTGAGGTTATAAAAATGCCTTCATGCACTGTTTTTTATTTGAGTTCTGGAATAATAAATGAATTACCATATATTCCGGTGTAATAACGCACTTTCAATACAAAAAATTTTAATGGAAATTTAGGAATGCGCATTATACGTCAGGTATAAAAATGATAGTTTTAAAAATAAGGAATGGGCATAAAAAATTAGATTTCTATATATGCCTAAATACAATTTATTTAAAAGAAATGACATACCTTAAGAACTTTAAAATTTTCATTGTCGGGTAACATGAAAAGGTCGTCATCTTCGTCTGCCGTTATATCTTCAGACACATCATCGAATTTTGTTTCACCTTCCCCATCATTGTTATTATGATCCATAAAAAAGAATCATTATCATCCATTCCATCTAATACCAACACCAGACACCCTTTCTGCAGCAGAATTTCCATTTTATTTCGCAAAATGAATGAATTTGCATTTGAAACCAACGCTGCGTTTGTTTCTATTCGCGGGATCCCTAATTACTACTAAAAGGAACACTATGTAGAAACATTAGGTATTTTTGGAAGCAGGCAAGATGAAAAATTAGCAACGCTTTCGCCGGAAATCGAACTACGGACCTCTGGAATACCGGCCCAGCGTGCAAAACCACTACACCATGAAGGCACGCTAGGAAATCGAGAGAAATGCCTTATATACACCCCGTTTCAAAGGGCGACTGGGATTTTTAGGGGACTCAATTACCAAATCCTAGGTGTGGAGAATTTTCATCCAACACCCTTTTAGTTCAGGCGCCACTGTAGAGACATTAGGAATTGTTGGAAGCAGGCAAGATGAAAAATGAGCAACCGCCTTCGCCGGGAATCTAACCTCGAACCTCTGGAATACCGGCCCAGCGTGCAGAACCACTACACCACGAAGGCGCGCTAGGAAGGCGGGAAGTATACCTTATAACTAAATCAACTGCATTTCAACTAAAATGTGATTTATTAAAGCATTCGAGTTTCAGTTCAAAATCACGGCTTCAAACGACAACAGAAAGAGAAAAATCTAACTCCTGAATCCACAAACTCATTCAGGTTGGAAGTGCATTCTTACTCCAAATTATATCCTCCTTTTCTCAAAACCCTACAATAGTAGTCTTTTGGACACCTGCACTGAATGCAATCCGTTCTCTTTACAGGAATATTTACTCCCTCAAGCATTTGATCCACACACATATTGTTCCCTTTATCGCTTGTCGATTCGATATACCATTCTTTGAAAAGCTGCGCCAAATCTTCGAATAAGTGACCTCAAAAGATAAGAACACCGCACATGTGTCTTTCAGGTTTCTTCGTAAAGAATTGGAATATAACTAAAAACTTTAAATTGTGGCTTGAAATTATGGATGCTTGTCATACACCGGAAACTACGGTAATTAGTCGTTTAAGTAGTTGTTTGAAAACAAAGCTTTTGAATGAAATTAAAGTTCCCCTTTTTTACTCCTTTCTAAAAAGCAAAGGAAGTTATGTAATGGCGAGAAAATTCAGATATCGTATGTCAACAAAAGTTTCCGTTTCGACAGTTCCCCAATCCATTTGGACAACCTTATTTTTTCCCCTTCTTTACATACGGATAGAATAAAGGACACATTTTTTTCCAAAAAGGATTGTAAAATGGGCCAAAAATGGATTCAAAAAAGATTTTTTTTCGTGACGTCTGTACGTTTGCACGTACATACTGCGCTGGTGCTTCTCAGTTTTTAAGACAAATTACAATGCTAGCCGGAGCGCACGGGAGCACTAAATAAGATGATTTCCGTTTTTTCCTCTTATAAAACTGAACCATAATTTAAGAAAAAAAAACTTTAGAATTCGTAACGTTTTATTTTAGCAATAAGTAAGACCTAGCAATACTCTGTTTCCCTAATATACAAACTCATGAGAACATGAAACATTCAAGAAAATTCTCTTCACTCGCATGTGGAAATCTCCGTTTAAGAAGCGTAATATTAACGTAATTAATTTAATAATAAGAAGCGTAATTAATTACGCGAAACGCGTAAATTTCTCGTCATGCCATTTTATCTAGTGTTTTGTTATGGATGGTTACAGTTAGTTATCCGCAGAAAGGGAAATTTATGTTCTCAACTGTGCGTTAAGTGACAGTGAGTATAATTGAGTGAAATACTGAGATCGATTGCTCAGGCACAACCTATACTATAGTGTTCCCCCAGTATCCATTAATGTAACCAAATACGAGGGCGAAAAGTGTTACCAGCAACTTTACATTCGTTCTTAGGAGTCAGATTCAGGATTCTTTTGCCACTGACACATATTCCGCTTGATGACTATAATTATATCAGCAGGGAGTTTTCCTACCCACTCAGAAATAGGAAGTTCAAAGATTTGAGCCTAAGAAAAGTGGGAAATCTGTCCTGAAGTCTATCCCCAAACTATCCCCTAATTGTGCGGCAAGGTCTCTTGGATTTGGTGTAAGCTTTCCTGCCCCAAGGCAATTAGCAGCACATATGGAAAAGAAGAAACAGAAAATTTGGGCAAAAGATTCCAAGTAAATGAACGTGAAGGGAATACGGAGTTTTTAAAGACACTAATGGAAGAGAAATAAATTCTGCGGAAACTTTTGTAATCGGTAAATTGCTTACCTGTTTCTAGTCTCGAGTGCGAGAAAGGATTTTCCCAATGATCTGAATTTGAAAGCCGCAACGCGCATCTTTTCATGTTAAAAACTCTTTCTGTTTTAATGTTCATTAGACTCGTCGGCCCTTTTACTCAAAAACTTCATAAACAGTTAGAACGAAAGTGATTGATTAACAGTACTAGAAAAACGAACTTAAAGCAGTTTAAACCTTATTAACAAATCAGATTAACAAAACGTCAGACTAATTTACTTGAACATCTGAATTCTTACTGTATTAAAAATTTGTGTTTTTTATATTATTATCCATTGTTAACGGATCTAAGATAGCTCTGTTTGCATATTATGTTTATAGTTCATATTTCTAGCATTTATTATTAATAGTTTCGGAAAAATTGCTTAATTTGTAATTGTGTGGGGAAAATACACTACATTAATATTAATATTCACATAATAATGTATATAAATTTTTGCTGCTTTTTGTATTTCTGTGTTTTAATTAGTATAATTTTCCATACATTTTTTAAACCCTGAAAAAAAATGACGTTCAGAAATGCCATTTACGTTAATTTATTTCAAATAGTTACGTATATTTATATTATTTAACTTACTTTGATTTATGAGCTGGAAAAAGATCAGTTTAACTAATTTTCATATATGGTGTAATATAAGAATTGTTCCGATAAATGTATCCATAAATTCAAATCTCTAGTTGCTTTTCTGGAAGAAGTATTATTATATGATACACTTTCTAACAAATGATACAAGTGTTAAATTTTCGAAATCTTTTTTTCCTTTAAAAATCAATACCATTGAATATCAAATTAATAGATGAAATTGAACTTGAGCAATTTAAAACTTGTTATTAACACACTTGGAATCAATTCATCAGAAAACCCGACTTTTTATATTTTTTAAAATTTGCAAGTTTTTCTTGTGTATTTCTATTTTATTCCCATATGTATTACATTTATATATCGTTTTTCTGTTATTCATAATTAAAAGTTTAGAATCCTAATTACTTTTGCTTAATTGTGCAACTGGTATAATGCATTAAAATTAAAACTCACGTTAAACTTTTGTCATTATCTTTTACATTCCTGCATATTTTAAACCTTTAAAGCGATGAACTTTCGTACCATAAGTAACATTAAGAACTAAGTTAATAATCATAAAACTGTAGTCGACAAAGCTTAAACTCCAAATTGACCGATATATATCGACCAATATCCAAATTGACCGAGGGAGTGCATGTTACACGATCTCATTATTAAATTATACGAAAAATCAGACGCGGACAATTTCTTTTCCGGTAAATTAAAAATCTATTTATGACATATTTATGTTAAATATATTAGTATTGTCATGTCCATATTAGCTTTAACTATTAATCCAATTCTGATAAAAATCATCATCAAAATATTGGTTCCTGTAAACATCCATTTTTGAGGGAGTACTGTACGTTTATTGTGGCTCCAAGAAATTCTTTTGCGTAGGTGTCCAAGAGTTCTAGTTAAGCCTTTGATCCGGGGGGGCAGATCCAAGGGTCTCCTACCACTCTTAGCCTACAACAAACTTCTAGAGAGGAATTTCGCCATATTTACAGTACCTTCATGCTGCGCAGACACTATACATTTACAAACTTTCATGCCTCCTCCGGGATTGAGTTCAGGCCCTTCGATATGAAAGTCAGCATCGTTAGCCACTATTCCGATTGGGCGGCATAGAAATTGTAGCCATCTAGATAGCAAATCAACCTTTCGCACTCAAACCAATTCGAATATTAGAATCTACCGCACGAGAGCTCTTTTTCGTTAACGGTATGGCCACGTAACAGAAGCAGGATCAGATTCTCCAGGTCATTGTAATCATTGTAGCAAAACGACTCAAATTTGTTTACAGATTATGAATGGCTAAATTTAAGTAGATTTTAAAATATTTATAAAACAGGACAAAGCTGGATTTTTTTTAACGACAGAAGAGACAGGATGTTTGAAATTAATCAATTTTTTTACTTATTTAATAACTTAGGACGAAAGGTAATATATTTCGCAGAGAAAACCTTTTTAATTAACAACGAACTATTTTATTTAGCATTCTAAACATATCAAAAAGAATAACATTCCATGGGTTATCACGCTCAAAGTAATATGTAAAACTACATCACTGTTGCCACAAAAAATCTACATTATAATGAACATATTAAATTATTGTGTATTAACTGAGTTCGTGCACGTTCCTGAACACAGGACAAGGCAATTGCCTGATATAAAATCGGGCATTAATCTTTTCATCAGCTGAAAAATAGAACGGAATTCCCCAATTTTTTTTCTTTTCCAAAAAGTGCCCTCATGCTATGAACCCTGAAAAAGCGTTCATAACTTTGTTTACATGTGCTTTCAGAACGGCCACAAAATAAACGCAAAACTTGATTTTCATCCCTTCGGTGTAAAGTTTTTAATAGGTTGATGCATTGAAAAAGCGTTTTGTTTTGTTGACTTTCTTTCAAATGACGGTAATTTAATTTGTACGCACGCTTGTGTAGTATGTGTGTTTAATGGTGGAAGTATATTTATCGATGTATGATTTATAGCAGTAGTTGGCTTTCAGAAACCATTAGATCCTAAAATTTTATATTGGTGTGTTTTCATCATGAATTTGGAACTTCTAGGTATAGCTCCCACTTAATTATTTCTTAATAATTCTTGGGTGCAAAATTTCTTTTGGTGTATGCTTGTTATGAAAAATTCTTTTAAATTTAATGTATATAAATTATATTCTTTTATGAATCGCTAAAACTGTTTCCTAGAGTATTTCCCACATTTTATGTCATTAGTATGTGACTTGATTTGTTTCATTTTTTGGGGTAAAATATTATTTATATTTTAATATCAGTTAAAACATTTCCTTCTCCACATTTAAACTATTCGAACTGATTTGATATTGTGCATGTTCCCTATGATTGTTATCTAAGAGGTTAGTTAAGATTTCAAACTGGACAAAAAACACTCCATTGTAAAATTTAAAATGTCGCAAACAAAAATCAAATTTTTGTGCGATTGCACTTGAATTCGACAGGATTTTATACAACATCTAGGCCAAACTAAGATTGTTTTCTCACCTAATTTTAAATAAGATTTGTTGTCAATATTTCGAGCATGTCTGTCAAGTCTTTTAGGGAAAAAATATATTAGCTTTTGATTTGTTAAAAGAGTCTCTCAATTCATTTTCTAGATAAATATAATACCTTCTTTCACAAAATTTTATATCTTCCTGCTCCAATTCTACTTGTAAATGAGTCTCAAATGACATTGATAATTTTCCTTATTATTCAATGAACAACTGGCATATTTTGTATGTTTTGTTTAAATATAAGGAGTATATTTTACAATACAAACTCATAGTATATATTGTCAGTTATGCTGCTTCATATCATTCAATTTCAATTTATTTTGTAAATAATGGAAAATTTGATTACTTTTCTAAAAATTTAAAAATTAAGAGTGTAAATATTTTTAAAGTTATGTGCTTCACTACTGTGTGTTTGTTTAAAATTATTTATAATATAAATTTGCTCTTATGAATATCATTTCAAATGAATATTAAAATTTCAGTCTGTTAAATTATTTCATTGTACAGTACAAAGTCCGTAATCTGGACTCGTCAGGCCTTCGGCGATTCCGGATTATAGATCATCAATTTAAATCTGGTAAGATGGCATGCAGAAATTATACAATTAAAAATATGAAATAAAGAACAATTATGATCTAAAGGGTATCAAAATTTACAAAATAAAGCTTAATATTTATTTGTTTCCTTTATTAAACATTTCTTTCAATGTAAGTTGTTTAAGATGTTTCCACAAAAAATTCAAAATGTTCCTTTTTTTTTATGTCATATATAGCGGACTTTCCAATGCCATACTTCTCGCATAATTTTGAGATGGAGTGTCCTTTATCCCTTTTTTGCAGCAATTCCACTTTTTCTTTAATGGGCATCCAAACATGCTTTCGCTTTGTAGATTCTTTGGCAGCTCCAGAATTATAAATTCTTTCTGACATAATCGAAAGTTCAAGCTTAATTTTTATAAAATTGTTCTAACAGTCTGCAAAAAAATAATAAGCTGGATCCAATTAGAAGATTAAGGAACAGCGCGATCTGCAACATTAACTGAAATGCCTTAGATAATTTTAGCCTAGCTTCTATACCGTCCGTTATACATTTAATGCATTCTGCATTTACACATGTGCATAAAGTTTGTAGTTTTGAGGTCCGGATTATAGATCATTCCGGATTATGGACGTCTGGATTACAGACTTTGTACTGTATATGACATTCACTATGAAATTATTTTCTGTCTATCTTTTTTATGTACGTTTAGATTTATATTTATGTTTGAAATATATGTAACAAATTATATAAAAATAAGAATCTTTCAATGGTATTTTATGGTTGAATAGGCAGTAGATATAGAAGTTTGTGAATATAGTGAAGCCCTTTTCTCTAGAAACGTATATTCTAAAGCATTAATTATCCTATATTTTCCAATATTGTGAACATTTCAAAGACCTAACATTTAAACAGTATCACAATGTTTAGAAAGAATCTGAAAGATTTTATGTTACACCCAAAGGAGGCTTTTTTTTTTTATTTATTTTTTTTATTTTATTTACACATATAAGCATTTCGAGAGCATTTGGGCTAATGTCTGTTTAGGCTAAATATATTTAAAAACAGCATGTCTTACAAATCTCCAATAGACAATCTTGTGCACTAGAATTCCCCCCCCCATACAGTGTTACCATTGCTAGCTTTGAAACTATTGAGTTTGTTAGTAAAAAATTTACATATTACAAAATATGAAACAAAGAATATAAATTACATATGTACACTACAAAATATGAAATAAACAATAAAACAAATCCAAAATTCAGCCTTCCAGGTGCCCATGTTCAGCTGGAGGATTACGTTATTCAAAATTTGATGGCTCTAGGTACCAACCTTTTTTTCACAGTATGAGAAACATATGTACATCCATGATTCTTCATTAATTAATATCTTTAACTATAATACAGGATGATAATGTTTGGTGGCAACAATTTAAAAGTGATATGCCATTTATATTGAACTGATGTAAAATGCCATTTTGAGACTAATAGCAATTCTTGGCTAACACTCCATTGGGCTAAAAAAAAATGTGTGGTCACCTATATATGTTCTTAGCATGAATATTTTGTCTTTTTAGCCCAAATGAAGCTACTTATCTCAAAACTCGATTTTGTGTGGTCCACTATAAATGCCTTTCACTTTTCATTTGAGTGTATTGCCATTCAGGAAAATGTCAGATATTATTCTTTTATATTAATTAAAGCAATAAATGCAGTTCCTATGAATATTATTTTTACTTATAAATTAGATTAAGTAAAAAATGTGTTTAATTCACAATATATCTAATTAGAAACATTCAGTGTTTTATAGACTGGTGTTATATATTTTTTTACATTTAAAAAATATAGAAGCTATAGAACAGGGTTCCCAACCCTAAGCCCGCGGGGACCATGGCGTCTGCCGATCGTTTAAACAGTATCACAATGTTTAGAAAGAATCTGAAAGATTTCAGATTTTATATTACACCCAAAGGAGAATTTTTTTTTTTATTATTATTATTATTATTATTTACACATATAAGCATTTGGGCTAATGTCTGTTTAGGCTAAATATATTTAAAAGCAGCATGTCTTACAAATACTATACTGAATCGCAGCCCGTCGCTCTATGATTACAATAAAAATGTTTAAGTTTTCAATAAAGTTCTGTGTGAAAGTTTTCTCATTTTTAATTAAATAGAAATTGCATCCAGCACAAAGCGAAATGTGATGGATCTCTTTTTTTATGTGCATGTATTGTTAACATTATCCAACTATAAATTCACCTTGAAAAAATAAATGGTGCCTGCTGTCCAATAGATACTCTAGAATGTGCTCTTAGGGAGAAAAAGGTTGGGAACCGCCTGCTATAGAACATTCCCATGTTAATACAAATGTATATTCATTTAGTATCCTATGAAATGTTTTGCTATTCTACCTGGGCCATCTCAGTTGATAATTTCTGCTAATAAACCATATTAAACTTTAAAAGAGCCCTTTCGGGAAACCATTAAAATTTGAACCATTTCAGACTCCTCCCCCCCCCCGTGTGTGTGTTTGTTAACAAAGAATAATAAGACAGTTTTATATTAGGTTACTTTTTTTATTGATATAATTTTTTAAGTAGTTCATTAAATGCTTAGGGAATAAAGTTTCTTTTATAAATTCTTTTGATTTTCACTTTTTCCTGTGTCTTTGCTGTTTTTACTGAATGACGTATATGCATATTGTTTATGTGAGTATCGTTTGCTTCATTTTATTGCTGCAAACAGCGTAAATTCCTTTTGCTTTTCTTCCTTTAGTTTTGAACTTAATATGTTTCACAAATAATAATCAATCAAAAAATGGACTGTATTCCTACACTTTTATTAAATTACACTTGTCAGCGATGCGAAATAATTGATACAAAATAAGCGAGCCATTCTACATGGCTGTCACAAACACAATTCTATCAATCAATTATCTTGTTGCCACACATAAAGTTCAAAACTAAAGGAAGAAAAGCAAAAGGAATTTATGCTGTTTGCAGCAATAAAATGAAGCAAACGATACTCACATAAACATCCTGGCCCTCGTTGAAATCCCAGGGGATTTCAACAGTTGGAGCATTTTGAAACTTCTTAGTCTGTAATAAAGATAAACATAAGAAAAATAATACAAAATATTATATGCGAAGCAGTTCATAGTTTTTTAGTCTGAATAGGAAGAGGACATAATTTCACGACTGGTCGTTTTATGACACCATGACCAGTTTTTAATACTAGCAACTCTGACTCTTTGATCTGAGCCCGGATGAACAGCAATTATTCTCCCTAACCTCCATTTAAGAGGCGGAAGGTTGTCTTCTTTGATGAGGACTAAGTCATTGACTTCTAAATTGTTTTGACTTTTTTGCCATTTAGGTCTTTGTTGAAGCTGAGACAGGTATTCTCGACTCCATCTTTTCCAGAAGTGCTGAAAAATAAACTGTCTCACATGCCATCTGTCAATGTGATTGAAGGAACTATAATTTAGGTCTGGTTCAGGTATGGCAGTTAAAGACGTTCCTATTAGGAAATGACCAGGTGTTAATGCAGTTAAATCATTTGGATCAGCCGATGTTGGACACAATGGCCTAGAGTTGAGACAAGCCTCAACCTGCGCTATCAAGGTTTGAAATTCCGGATAGGTCAGCACAGTATCACCAACAGTCCTTTTTAGATATAATTTCATTGACTTTACTGCCGATTCCCATAGTCCACCAAAATGGGAAGATGATGGCGGGTTGAATATCCATTTTATTTCTTCTAAAGACAAAAATTTGTGAATTTCTTGATTTTGCTTACATTGCAAAAAACATTTTCTGATTTCTTTGTCTGCACCTTTAAAGTTAGTACCGCAGTCACTATAAATCTCAAATGGTTTCCCTCTTCTTGCAATAAATCGTTTCAATGCACTTAAAAAAATGCCTTTGTTGACAAATCTTCTACCACTTCAAGATGTACTGCCTTGATTACAAAACACACAAATAAGCATACTTAGTAAT